TACCCCTCCCTCCCTGGCCAGAGCCGGGCTCATGGCGGCCAACACCAGTAAAATTACAGTAAAAACATAATAGGGGGAAAAAAACAACCCAATTTAAAATACAGGTTAAATTGCAATTTAAAATGCAGCCTCATTTTAAAAGTAGCCGATAAATTAAAACCATAAAGGGGGGGGGGACATAAGGGTCAGACTGAGTCCAAACCAAAGGCCAGGCAGAACAGCTCTGTCTTGCAGGCCCTGTGGAAAGTTGTCAAGTCCCGCAGGGCCCTAATCTCTTGCGACAGAGCGTTCCACTAATTTGGGGCCAGTACTGAAAAGGCCCAGGTTGAGATTAAATATTGGATCAGGTTTTTACTATGCAGGTAGATTGGCTTGGCTGTGCTCTGGATCAAGCCAGGAAGTGGGGAGGGGGAGAGGTGCAAAGGGTACGATTCTGGTACACATCCTTCCTTTGTCTGAAACCTTACACCATTAAAAAAAAAAAATCAGTGCCCCTGTCCTGCCTGAATTTCCAAGAGAAGGAGCCCCCTTCTTCCATTCTTTTCTCTCTTTTTTAATAACAATACGTGACCGTTTAGCCTTCCTAAACAGCAAAGAACAAGCCGGCCACTGTTCACAAGCCAGGACCTTTTATGATACAGCGATCAAAAGCAGTAACATGATGAGTTAATTGCGATGGAACATATCTCATCATCATAATTTAACTGCAGAGGCCCAAGAGAAAGAAACGAGAGGTTGGGGCTCCAAACCAAATAGCAGAACGCACCTGGTGGCATTTCAGCAGCAAGGAAATGAAGGGTACTTTAAGCCCCCCTTCAGGCATTATTAAAGGGAAAGGATTTCGAGCTGCGAACCATGCGCCCTGACGTGTCCCGCCCCCCACCCCCACCCCCAGGTTTTCCACATTCAGCAACAAGGTCTATAGGGGACTTGCAAGCATGATTCTTAAGGGCTCTTGGTCATGGAGAGGCTTGCAGGTGCTTTTATCCCAGAATTGTAGAGGTGGAAGGGACCCTAGTCATCTAGTCCAACCCCCTGCAGTCTAGCAATCACAGCTGACAGATTGGCATTCAACATCTGTTTAAAAGTCTTCAGTGAAGGTGATTTCACCACCTTCCAAGGTAGGGTAAAGGGTAAAGGGACCCCTGACCATTAGGTCCAGTCATGACCGACTCTGCAGCACTCATCTCGCTTTATTGGCCGAAGGAGCCGGCGTATAGCTTCCAGGTCATGTGGCCAGCATGACTAAGCCGCTTCTGGCAAACCAGAGCAGCGCACAGAAACACCGTTTACCTTCCCGCTGGAGTGGTACCTATTTATCTACTTGCACTTTGACGTGCTTTCGAACTGCTAGGTTGGCAGGAGCAGGGACCGAACAACGGGAGCTCACCTGTCGCAGGGATTCGATCCGTCGACCTTCTGATTGGCAAGTCCTAGGCTCTGTGGTTTAACCCACAGTGCCAGCTGCGTCCCCCAAGGTAGGGTAAAGGTAAAGGGAACCCCTTACCATTAGGTCCAGTCGTGGCTGACTCTGGGGTTGCAGCGCTCATCTCGCTTTATTGGCTGAGGCAGCCGGCATACAGTTTCCGGGTCATGTGGCCAGCATGACGAAACTGTTTCTGGCAAACCAGAGCAGCACACAGAAACACAGTTTACCTTCCTGCTGGAGTGGTACGTATTTATCTACTTGCACTTTGATGTGCTTTCGAACTGCTATGTTGGCAGGAACAGGGACCGAACAACAGGAGCTCACCCCGTCGCAGGGATTCGAACTGCCGACCTTCCGATCGGCAAGCCCTAGGCTCTGTGGTTTAACCCACAGTGCCACCCACGTCCCCCAAGGTGGGGTAGCAGCTGACAAACCAGCCAATGCCGGTAAAGTTGACCAACCCAACTCTGAGACCAATCTGGATTCTACTCTCAAGTACAGTATGTGTTCACCCATAAGCCAAAACTCGTGTATCAGATATGGACAATGAGGTGTGTTTGTGTGTGTGTGTGTATTGATCAGCCCCGAATGAACTCTCGAAAGGTCAGCCATTTTATCCACCCCAAATTGAATGTCTGCCATTTGCATACAGCTGGAGGTCAGAGCTCGGTGCAAATTGCAGTTCTAATCATGTGTAAATCTAATTGCGCCATTCTTCTGTCATCGGCCTCATGTCATCTGGAAAAGAATTACAGTTTTCCATAAAGCATGCTGGGAAAAGGGCTACATATATAGTTCGAAAGGCTGGCCGGGATCCATTTTATCAGCGGCGATAAATATCACAAAGCCAGCGGTTCTCCCTGACGGCGTCTGTCATAAAAATTCTGCTGACCGGTCCTTCATATCGTCTCCGTCAGAACCTGTTAGCACCGGCCTTGTGCAGATGTTCTAAATAATGACCCCAAAAAGGACAGTTACAGACTTGGATCAGGTTCAAAAAAAAGCCAGACATGATCAAGGAACTAGAACAACTCTCTTATGAGAAAAGGTTACACCTGGAGCTTTTTCTTTCAGGGGAAAAAAATGCAAATAAGAAAAGTGTGTAAAATTATGTGTGGAGAAAGTGGATAGGATCATAGAATCGTGGAGTTGGAAGAGACCACGAGGGTCATATAGTGCAGTCTTTCTTGGGCTTGCTGATCAGAAGGTCAGTACAGTGGTACCTCTGGATGTGAACAGGATCCGTTCCGCATCCTGAAGCGAACGTAACACGCGTCTGTATGTACGCGGGTCGTGTTTCACTGCTTCCGCGCATGCGCGTGACGTCATTTTGAGCATTTGCGCATGCGCAAGCGGCTAAACCCAGAAGTAATGCGTTCCATTACGTATTCATCCCGAGGTATGACTGTCGTTCGAATCTGAGCGATGGAGTGAGCCATTGCACCTGAAGCGGTTTAGTCCTGCTGGCCACATGACCCAGAAAGCTGTCTGTGGACAAACGCCATCTCCCTCAGCCTGAAAGCGAGATGAGCGCCACAACCCCAGAGTCATCTTTGACTGGACTTAACCGTCCAGGGGTCCTTTACCTTACAGGTGAAAATCACGTAAATAGGGGGGGCCACAGCACGAGGCTCGGGGGCCACCGTGGGATGTGAGAAGTGAAGAAAAAAGATAATTAAAAAACAAAATCTTGATAGGCTGGCTATATGCTTGGCCAATCTCAAGCGGGTAAAGGAGCAACCCATCAGGGCTTTGTGCTCCTTTTTGCCCCATGTGTTTTCTTGGAGCAGTCCTGGTTCATTTCTGGTGGGAGAGAGCGATCGCTGAGGTTCCTGATTTGAGCAAGTAATGTAGTGGCAATGGGTGTTGTTGTTGTTGTTGTTTAGTCGTTTAGTCGTGTCCGACTCTTCGTGACCCCATGGACCAGAGCACGCCAGGCACTCCTGTCTTCCACTGCCTCCTGCAGTTTGGTCAAACTCATGCTGGTAGCTTCGAGAACACTGTCCAACCATCTCGTCCTCTGTCGTCCCCTTCTCCTTGTGCCCTCCATCTTTCCCAACATCAGGGTCTTTTCCAGGGAGTCTTCTCTTCTCATGAGGTGGCCAAAGTATTGGAGTCTCAGCTTCAGGATCTGTCCTTCCAGTGAGCACTCAGGGCTGATTTCCTTCAGAAGGGATAAGTTTGATCTTCTTGCAGTTCATGGGACTCTCAAGAGTCTCCTCCAGCACCATAATTCAAAAGCATCAATTCTTTGGCGATCAGCCTTCTTTATGGTCCAGCTCTCACTTCCATACATCACTACTGGGATCCCTACCACTACTGGGATCCCTTCATGGATCACTGCCTTGCCGTGGTGAAGGGGCTTGAATAACTCAGAGAAGCTATGAGCCATGCCGTGCAGGGCCACCCAAGATGGGCAGGTCATAGTGGAGAGTTTTGACTAAACATGATCCACCTGGAGCAGGAACCGGCAAGCCACTCCGGTATCCCTGCCAAGAAAACTCCATGGACAAAGACAAGAGGTGGCAATGGGTAGGGCTGGGTAAACCAGAGCTGCTTGTTGCTGCCGCCAGGGCTGCACCCAGTGGCAGCCTGGGCCTGGCTCTCCAAGGTGCAGGGTGCAATCCACCCCAGTGCCTAGCGGATCAGGGCCTTTGAATGTTGCCAAGGGGTGCAGGGCCCGTCAGCAGTGTCGGCCTGGTTCTGCGAGGTGCAGGGTGAAATCTACTCTAGAGCCTAGCGGATTGGGGTCGTCTGGTGCTGCTGACTTGCATCTAGTAAGTGCATCTAATAAGTGTCTACTCAGAAGACAGCCGCAGTGAGTTCAGTGGGTCTTACTCCCAGGGAAGGGTGTGTGGGGCTATAGTGTTTTATATAGGCAGCCAGGGCTCCTCCGGATGACAAGATCTTTTTGCACCAGGTCAGCTCTTTAAAATTCTCCACACATATACAGAATTCCCAGTGCGCCTTTTGGACTGTGTCTGTAGGTTTCCCCCTCTGTGTCAAATAACTGGCGTCAAATAAGTGTTGTTTACTTTTTATAATACATGGAAGATGGATCTCCCTCAGGAGGTTGTGGACTCTCCTTCCTTGGAGTTTTTAAAGCAGAGGTTGGACGGCCATCTGTCATGGATGCTTTCGCTGAGTTTCCTACAATTGAAGGGGTTGGACTAGATGACCCTTGGGTCCCAGCTCTATGAGTCTATGTTTTTCTGCTTCTACAATATTTCATTATGTTCCTATCGTTTTATGTAATTGTATTTTGTATAAATTATAAAAATTATAAATAAAACATGTTCTATTTACACACACAAAAATTAAATAACTGCCTTTCTACTGGTAGAACGGGGGTGGGGCATGGGCGTAGCCAGGGGGCAGGCTTGTTGGGGGGGCAGAACTTCAGATTTGTATTGATTTTTATTTATTGGGGGGAAGCTTCCCTTCCTGCCCCGTCTTGGCTACATCCAGGGAGGGGGCCACAGGAAGGAAGGAAACAAGGTCAGAAGGGGCCACGGTCGGGAAAAGGCTGGGAAACACTGATCTATTCCAAGCCCCTGCAATGCTGGAATCTCTTTGCCCGACCCAGGACTTGAACCCACAACCCTGGGATTAAGAGCCTCATGCTCTTACTAACTGAGCTATGTGTTTCCTATTGGAACAAAGAGGCACAGCGGAGACGGCAGCGTCTGTATGATATATGGTTTATTTACATATAATGCAGCCTGGACCTAGATGGAGAGAGCATTCACATCCCAAGAAGATCCTGTTCGTTCCATTGCTGCAGCTTCGGTGTCCAAGAGACCCCAAACATCATGTCTGAGCCTCTTATCTGTAGCATAAAACAAGCTGCCTGCCTCGTGCACTGGCCCCCTCCTTCAAAAAGTGAGATTTTTTTTCCTGGTCGCTTTTCTTCATTGCCCACTCCAGTTCTGCCCCTCCCTCCTGGAACTCGGAGCTTTTGTCTCTGCTAACTATCTCTCACCTCAGGGAGGAGCTTTGCCCATTTTCTATCCAGCTCAGAGATTCTGCTAATGGCCTTCGCCATTCTGGTGTTTCCCTCGCAAAGGAACTTCTGCCAGGCTTTTTCCTGGACACTGGTTTAAACTCCAGACCCCACTCTGGAATTTAATAGTTCGTTTAAATTCTAACTGGTTGATGAATTCAAATATTTTAGGGGAGTCTTCCCCCTCCCACCCACCCCCCAAAAAACCTCACACCCTTGTGCAAATTAACTGAAACAAAGCATGTTTTCTATCTTACTCGTAATCCTGTACTCAAAACAAACACGAAAAGTCAGTTGATCGTTATGGTGTCGGAAGCCTGCAGCCAATAGAAGGAATGATGCGCTCGCCACAATATACTGAGGTTCCACGAAAGAGAGTTATTCCAGGGCTGGAAAAGAGGTATCCTGACAGTACTGGGATATTGCGGCAGGACCTAGCCCCCTGTCACACATCGAAAGTGGTGAAGAAATTCATGGCAGAGCAGCAAATACATGTACTTGATCGGCCAGGGAATTCCCCGGACGTAAATCCCATTGAGAATTTGTGGGCTATATGCAAAAGTCGCCTCCGTGCTGTAGACTGTACGACTATGGAGAAGCTCATTCAGGCACTGATTCAGATGTGGTACAGGGATCCGAAAATCAACAGTGACTGTTCGAAACTATAGTGGTACCTCAGGTTACATATGCTTCAGGTTACAGACTCCACTAACCCAGAAATATTACCTCGGGTTAAGAACTTTGCTTCAGGTTGAGAACAGAAATCATGCTCCGGCGGCGCAGCAGCAGCAGGAGGCCCCATTAGCTAAAATGGTGCTTCAGGTTAAGAACAGTTTCAGGTTAAGAATGGACCCCCAGAACGTTTCATTTCTTTGTTATATCTTAATAAGGGTTTTTTTAATTTTTCTTGCTGTATTTTGTATTTTCTTGTATTTTTACTTTTTGTTTTTGTGTAATTCTTGTATTCTTTGAAATTTTAATAAATATCATTTAAAAAAAAAAAAAAAGAATGGACCCCCAGAACGAATTAAGTACTTAACCCAAGGTACCACTGTAGTAGACTCCACGCCAAACCGTGTTCAAATGCTGCTTAAAAATAGCAGAGGTCATATCTGTTACTAATGTACGTACAGTCATACCTCATGTTACGTCCGCTTCATGTTACGTTCTTTCAGGATACGTCCCACAGTGACCCGGAAGTACCTGAAAGGGTTACTTCTGGGTTTTGCCGCTCGCGCATGCGCAGACACACGAAATGACATCCCGCGCATGAGCAGAAGCGGTGAATTGCAACCCACGCGTGCGCAGACGCACAGACGCAGGTTGCATTCTTTTCATGTTGCGAACGGGCCTCCGGAACGAATCCCGTCCGCAACCAGAGGTACCACTGTATATGTGAGTTTTGTACAATAAGCTACATTGTTTGTTTCAATTAGTTTGCACAATGGTATATAACAACATATTCCATTAAAAGCTTTGCCATCTGGAGAGAAACATCATTCAGTTCTATCAAGTCTCGCTGAATGAGGTATCTTCCTCATTCAAGTCTATGTGAAAGATATATACAAAGATCCTAACCTTCTTCCAAGTTATGATCTTGGAAAGAGCCAGAGAACAACTGGTGCGAAAGTGAACAGCTACCCATTAGTTAAGCAACGGCCACACTCAGCGCCTGCCTTGATCCATTATGAGCCTCCCAGGGCCCCCTTGGCAGTCCGTCGCTAACAGCCCCGAAGCAGCAGGAATGTGGAAGGAACAGGTGCTGGGGCTTGCCACAGCTGGGACCCACGCTGCGCAAAGAGAATAAGTGGTGCTACTGCTGTTTTTCCAGCAGCCTTGAATGAAGCCACCTACCTGAAGACGCTTAATTGTTTGACTCGCCTATAGATTTTCTTTTAAATGCCGGGTGCTGGCAACGTTTAACTCCTTCGGCTGCTGTCGACGGGTCCCTGGTGTCGTTGCCTTTCCCTAGCATTGTTTAAGGATCCGGGAAAGGTCTCTGGTCTCTGTAATATGGAGACCTGTGTACGTGTGCCGACAAATGCAGACTGTCAGGTGTGCGAGCAGGAGCCAAGCCCTGTGACCAATAGGGCTCTGCAGGACTGGGGCCTTCCTAAGTTTGTTCTGAAGAGGCAGGGCGCGGCCGCACAGGTGAGGCCGATTGGTAACTCACAAGGGCCGGGAAGGGATATAAGGTCAGCATTTTCCCTTCACCTCTTTGCCACAGCAACATGTTCCCTGCCTTGCTGCATTTGATTCCCTGCTCCTCGGACTCCTGACTTTGTGACTTCTTCCTCCTTGATCCTCGGACCCCTGACTTTGTGACTTCTTGCTTCTTGATCCTCGGACCCCTGACTTCGTGACTCCTTGCTTCTTGATCCTCGGACCCCTGACTTCGTGACTTCTTGCTTCTTGATCCTCGGACCCCTGACTTTGTGACTTCTTGCTCCTTGATCCTCGGACCCTTGACTTCGTGACTCCTTGCTTCTTGATCCTTGGATCCCTGACTTCGTGACTCCTTGCTTCTTGATCCTCGGACCTCTGACTTCGAGACTTCTTGCTCCTTGATCCTCGGACCCCTGACTTCATGACTCCTTGCTTCTTGATCCTCGGACCCCTACCTTCGTGACTTCTTGCTCCTTGATCCTCGGATCCCTGACTTTGTGACTCCTTGCTTCCTGACCCTCAGACCCTTGGCTTCTTGACTCCCAGCTCTCTGACCTCGGACTCTTGGCTTTCTGACTCCTGGCTTCTGGACTCCTGTTCCTGCTCCCACCCTGCCATCTTGCCCCCAGTCCCGACGTCCTCAGCCGGGACTTAAATTGCCCGTGAACCGAACCATGACACAGACCCTCCAAGTGTCCCTATGTTCCAGGGACAGTCCCGGATTTACAGAAGCCATTCTGGTTTCTGATTTGATCCCGGAATGTCCCGCTTTTCCTTAGGACGTCCCTATTTTCATTGGAGAGATGTTGGAGGCTATGGCAGGCTGTCCTGTTTTCATTGGAGAAATGTTGGAGGGTATGGAGTTTCTGATACCCGAGCCATCAGAAGGCAGCCTTGCATAGACTGTATATTGTCTTTTGGGCTGCAACCACCAATTCCTGTTCAGCCTCTCTCTCTTTCTGGCTGGTCGAAGTCTTCCCATTTCCCCAATGAGGCTCTGCTCTACAGGAGGAGTGGTAGATATAGCCAGAAGATCTGCTTCTTGGACTTTGATATCTAGAGTCGCAAGGGGAGGCCCTCCCTCCTCCATCCCTTAGTTGCCAACTTTCCTGTCCCATCCCCCCAGTCTGTTCCTTCTTCCTTCTTTCTCCTCTTCCATCTGGGGCAACCAAACCATGCCAGATCATAATGGAGCTCAGGGGCCCATGACAGCAGTTGCTCATCATCTGGGAGCTCTGCTGTTAATGTAGCAAACATACTGTGCATGGAATCTGTGATTTTGTGAAGATTCACAACCTTAAAATGAAGAGAGAAAAAAAAGGAAATTCCACCCACAGTACATTCACAGCTTATCAGCAGAGTTGCCAGAATATCAACAAGTGGTGCAAAAGTAAAGAATGGACAGGTGAGGGGTGCAGGTATGTTACTTTTCAAAAACATATCGCAAATGCCAAAACCTGAAAATGCTGTGTATTAATAAGGTATTAATTCTTATTTCATTGAATTATGTAAAAAAAACATAAAAGGGCATGCAACTGCAATGTGAAAACCTAATTGTTTTCACTGTTGAACAAGATAAACAGAACAATTTTTGCCATTCACTATTACGAAGTGAATTTCTCACACTGATATCAGCAAAGAACTTTGCACTTGCAGTGATAACGTCTCCGCGAGCGGCCTCTGGGTCTTCAGTTCCTTTTAAGACATTTAAACAGTGTGCTGTTTTCTCAAATATCTCCAGATTCCAGACATTGTTACACCACGAAGAAGACAACTGCAAATTGTCAAATGCCTTCCGTTTTTCAGAAATGGGCATTTGAGCAACTGCCAGTAGCCTCCTTAAGAGTTCCTGGGAATGAAAATAAAAAAAAGGGGGGGATTGTTGCTTTGTTTTTCTGACCCTTCAGTTTAGATATAAAAAACTTATACTGTAATGACGACCCATGAAGATACTATGGCCATGCTAAATTCACTGATGTCCTACCAGGCACACTAACTCTAGGGGATGGAGGTGTCACCAGTCCCCTCAATATTCCTTAGCAGGTGACTCAGCCCCCCAATATTGAGGGAACAGAGGAGGCTGAGAGCGTTGAAGGTGCAGCCATTGAAGCTGCACGGTGCTGGGCAAGGCCTTCTGCTGAGGATGCGCCTCATCCCAACAATGTGTCATGTGTCACATGTGTTGTCACAGGCACACATTGTGCCACGGCCCCTCAGTTTCCAGCCCAAGGCACCATCTCTGTGTCCTGCTTTTCTGGGCCAACTGAGGTGGCAAATGGATGGACTTGTCTTTAAGTTGCCAGGCTCAGTATGAGCAAAATAGAGCCCTTCAAACTCAAGTCTCCCGTTTCTGAATGAGCTGAACTCCATCTAAAAGTAGGGTTAAAGTTTTGGGGAAGTTCCAAAAAGTTGACTGTGCATTTCTGAAGCAACTAAAGCAGATGGGAGCCTGTGGCCTTCCAGAACCTGTTGGACTTCCAACTCCCATCAGCACCAGCCAGCATGGCCAATGGTCAGCGGCAATGGGACTTGTAGTCCGGCAACACTTGGAGGGCCAGATGTTCGTGTAACTATGACAAAGCCACTTCCGACCTCAGGAGGAGGTGGTGTTGCGGGCTCACGCCCCCAACACCTGCACGGAGGCTGGCTTCCAGCCCCACGCGATCAGGGGAATCCTCGGGCCGCGTCATCCCCTGGCCAGCCAATCGGCTGGCTCAGGGGGGTGCGGCCTGCCTCATTTGAGGCAAGCGCGGCCCGGGATCTCCCTCTTTGGCCGCTCAGCTTTTTAGGTTTCCCACCCGCCCGCCCTTCAAGGTTTCCTTTCTGACCTTGTTATGGACCTTGGTTGGTCGCCGTTGAGGGGCCTGGTAGGAATTTTTTCCACTTGGCAAATTGGCACTGGCCATTTGGTTTTTCACCTACCTCGTAGCAAATCATCACAACTTCCTTGGTTTTGGCGGTTAGGCATTGGTAGGGGTATTATGTAGATGTGTTAGGGGGGGGAGCGCCATCACCTCCCCCAAATATTGAAGGCTAGTCCGGTAAAGGACTCCGGGGGGCGTGGCCCCATCCAAAACCTATGGAGGCCAGGGTCGAAGGCACGCCCCCGAGTGGTGACCCCGGGGGAGTCCCTAGTTGATGTGCATCAGCAGGGCTCCCCCTGCTGGTGTTAATCCTTCCTGGTCTTCAAGCAAACAGGCTGAAGCCGGATAGTCAGTTAGGACCAATGCCTAAGCCAATACCGCTCTTTACCTGTAACCAATAAAGTTGTGGCCTATTTTAGCCCATTAACCTAAATACTTGTGTCACGTGTCGTTATTTCCTACTGGTGGGAGGCGGGAACTCGCCACGCAACAAGAAAAAGTATACCTGTTATGGCTAGTTGAAATAAAACACTTAAACAGTACCTTTTCCCCCATCAAAGCTGCTTCTGAATGAATGGTTCCAACCTTTTCTTGAATAAGATAGCAGGGAACTCTCTTTCCGCTTCACACAGACCCTCCGAGTTAAAAGACTGGCTCTCTTCAGAGAATACTCTCTCTCCCCTCTTTTCTTTGTAGTGTTTTGGGAATTTGCGCACTCACTGCTGCTTGGAGTCAGTCCGCAAACTTCCGCTAACAATGCAATCAAGTAACTTCCATTCCCTGCCTCCTTTTTAGCAGATTGTAGAATAATTTAATAATAATAACAGTAATAATAACAATAAACGGGGCGAGGAGAGGAGTGGGAAGACCCTACAGCTTTGACAGATGGTACTCAGCGCTTGACTCCTGCTGAGCTCAGCAGGGCCGATGGTTTAGCACTGTCAAAAAGACTCTTGCCTATGAAGTGGATAACAAAGTGTGGGCTGCCAGCCTCCTTTCCTATAGAAAAGCTCGGTTGTTGTAACATGTTGCTCCTGGCTTTCTTTCACTGCGGTGGGGGGAGCTTAAAAAAAAGAGAGAGAAAACCTTCTGAAAGCTTTCGGCTGCCCTATGCGGTGGGCAGATGCTTTTGTGCTGGAGAAATTGGGAAGGGAAATCAAAGAAGCAGGAAGCGATGCGGCAGGGAGGGAACTTCGGAGGCCCAGGCGAGCTCCGGTGGCGAATTTGGAAGACTTCAAAGAGGATTCCAGCTCAAAGGGAAGACCTAGATATTGAATAGATGCTGCCTAGTGTCGGCGGTTCTTTCCCTTTGCCAAATGAGCTAATGCCAAAAAGCAAAGTGGACTTGGGCTATAAAATGCTGCTTTAGCAGAATTTTCGCTAGCGACCTCTCGGCTGCAAACCTGTTGCCATCCCACCGTGTTCTCTGTCTCTTCAGACATGCCCCCACCCGCCTGGCCAGATTGGGAGCATTGCAAACAATCCTTTCTGGTAAGCCTGAAAATCTTTTTTTATGGGGTGAGGTAGAAAGTTATGTTAACTGTGGAAGTTGTAACCCTTAGCGCTCTGTTACAAACACCTTGATTTTCCTGTTGTGGAAGGAAGAGTGTTGGCCCACTCCCAAAAATGTATGTGTTACAGTGAATGTCCAAAATTGGGTGGGAGGTTGCACTGATAGGCGAATGTTGACAATCCCAGATTAATTTTGAGCCAACATGAAAATGGATAGAGATAGATGGAGACATGGATGTATTTCCACTCTTGGAGAGTACACAAGTAAGCACTTGTCAGCTGTCACCAGTGTATCTAAGTTTTTGGAAATTCACCTGCTTCACCCAGGATTGTCAAAATTTGCAAACTGAATGCTGACCACCAAATTTTGGATACTCTCTTGGTGTAGTTTTAAGGCAACCTGCTAAAGAACTGCCATCCACTGGTAACATTCAAAATCCAGAGTTAATTCTATAATGTCACCCTGCTAAAAAGTTTTAATTTGGCTTCCTTTTTTGGCACGTAAGACGCAAGGGCATGTTGAAATCAACAGCGCGTACTCTTATGTAGAGTTGTTTAGGGTTGAAATGCCAAAAATATAGCACACTGCTCAATATGTCGATTCTCTTTATACTTCTCCATGGACATAATTTGCTTCAGAAAAATTAATGTGGCATTAATAACTGAAATACAATTTGTTGCATAAGTTGAAAAGGTCCAGTCCCTGAGAATATCTAGGTAAGAGATCTTAGCTGGCAGGTATATAAACGAGGGGGTGAATAAGGTGGGAGCTGAATGGCAATGAAATGCAAAAATTACAATCCTTTATAACCCTACACAAGTTTATTTTGCTATTACTTTAAAATTTGCCTATTGTGTCTATAGAATTGTAAAGGGATGAGCACACTCAATGAAGAGCATTTGAGTACATGTAGTTTGCTTTTTTTGTTCTAAGGAGAGAGAAACATAGTATTTTGGCAGAAGCATATTCCAGCACCCACATTTTCTGAGAGTCTCTCCAGACATCCTTTTTTATTGTGTATTCATGATGACTTGTACTCATGGTGCTATCGGGGTGGTTATACAGAATCCCGCCTCCAATACTGCTTGCACCATCAAAACTTTCAGGACATGCTTCCTTTCCCATCTTTAAATGCCCCATAGCTTCTTGTTCAAATCCTTGAACACTTCATCCCACAAATGTACGGCGGAGGGGGGCGGTGTCCTGCTTTTGTCGCACTATAGTTCAAGAGCTGGGGTATGTGGAGGGTTAGGGGAGGGGTAATATCGCTGGTGAAGGGACGCAGGTGGAGCTGTGGGTTAAACCACAGAGCCTAGGACTTGCCGATCAGAAGGTCGGCAGTTCAAATCCCCGCGACGAGGTGAGCTCCCGTTCCTCGGTCCCTGCTCCTGCCAACCTAGCAGTTCAAAAGCACGTCAAAGTGCAAGTAGATAAATAAGTACCGCTCCAGCGGGAAGGTAAACGGCGTTTCCGTGCGCTGCTCTGGTTTGCCAGAAGCGGCTTAGTCATGCTGGCCACATGACCCGGAAGCTGTACGCTGGCTCCAATAAAGCGAGATGAGCGCCGCAACCCCAGAGTCGGTCACGACTGGACCTAATGGTCAGGGGTCCCTTTACCTTTAATATCGCTGGTGAGGGACACGTCATGCTCATTCTGGGGTAGTTTGGTCCCCACCCGGCACTCAGCTCTCACCTGTGGCTCCTAGAAGTTGTCAGCAGGTGACAGCAGCTTCGACTGGCCGGCTACAACAGGTGAAGATAGCTCATGGATCTCAAATGCTCAGTGAGTTTGGGACTTCCTCTGCATGTGAAGACAGGCTCTGATGGATGGACTAGATGAGACCAATAGTGGGTCCAACGGTCGAGAAGGCGGTTTCTTCATGTGCTGTAGAGGGAAAAGAGGGGCAGATGGGGCTCCTCAACCTGGGAAGGCAGCCCATCTAGGAGAAGGAAAACTCTGATCTTAACCCTCCACTGCCTTGCAGGATACCTTCAGGAGTAAAAAACAGACCAATCTGAAGAGGCACTGAAGTGACATAAATGCAAGGGGTGGAAGGGACGTTTTAGGGGACAGGAATGCTTCACCTGTGCTGTGTCTTTGCATTCTAACCCCCCAAATCTGCCTCTTTTGGGGGGTAACTTTCTGCCATTTTGGCTTACCCCTCAGAGTGAAGACACCATTTACACCAGGGAGAAGACTGTCTGTGGGCTTCCCCTCCCACCCAGTGGAAAAGGGACCAAAACACAACCACTCTACCAAATTCACACAATTTTTTCCTGTTCTCCAGCCAGATAATAATAATAATTAATAATAATTTATTTATACCCTGCCCATCTGGCTGGGCCTCCCCAGCCACTTTGGGCAGCTTCCACCAAAACACAATAACCTATTAAACATTAAAAGCTTCCCTAAACAGGGCTGCCTTCAGCTGTCTTCTAAAAGTTTGGTAGTTGTTTTTCTCTTTGACATCTGGTGGGAGGGCGTTCCACAGGGCGGGTGCCACTACCGAGAAGGCCCTCTGCCTGGTTCCCTGTAACTTGGCTTCTCGCGGCGAGGGAACCGCCAGAAGGCCCTCGGCGCTGGACAGAAATGAACGCATGCTTTACTGGAAAATATCATGCACCTACGCATTGTGTTTGGGGAAGCTGGTTTGCAAAAGTGTTTCTATTAGGAGAGATTGCATATGAAAATGTGTTTAATGAGAGAAATTCAGACAAAAACACTGATGATTATCAGGAGGCCTTTTTTAAATCGTCACCACCACCACCCTCATTGCAAACTAATGTGGAAATGCTCACAGGCCTTTGCAACTATTTGATTTTTATTTTGATCAGCCAGCTACCTTAAGGATCATCAGTAGTGTTTATATTTAATATTCATTTCTTAAATTGTGTTTTATGTTTTGACATTTTACGCCACCCTGATGTTTCATCCTATGTTAGTACAGAAATGCTTTAAAAAAAAAAAATAATGCATAGAACTGAACTTAAATTGCAAAAATGAGAAACCAAATAGATCTGCCCATCTTTTAGGCACCTTTTGCTTCTGCTTGAGAGCTCATGAAATTGTTAACTCCATTATATTTTCTTTTTTTAAAAAAAATCAAATCTGTGTGAGCCACTTTGATGACCCAATGTGGAACTATTTCCACGAATAAAATAAATATGGCAATTGGTTGAGAGGGGAGCTATTCCCTGCCTAGGTGCAAACTGCCCTCCGCAGAGTTGGGAAGAGGCCCAACGCCAGAGTCTCTGTCTGCAGAAGCCTAAAATCTCCACCTCACCCCTTCTCTAGAGAAATCCCCCTCCTCTCCGCTCCATCTCAGAGTGAAAGCACAACATGCTGGCAGGTGGTGTTTGGGCCCAGGAAGCGAAATCTCTGGACCTTGCGTCTGTTGCACCTGCCGTTCTGCGGCTGGGGTCTCTCGCTTTGTTGACTAGAAAAAGAGACAGGGCATCATGCCAGGAGCCTTCGTGTGCCTTCTGAGCCAGATCCCAGTTGCTAAGGGGCTTGGGGAAGACATCAAGAGAGAGAAGCAAAAAAATAAAAAAATAAAAGTAAATCTTGTTTTTCCTTTTTCACAGAGAGAGGTGTGGGCAGATTGTATGTTAACAAGGAGAGGGAGGGTGTTCTCAATCCCATTTGGAGAAGGGCGGTAGCTCAGTGGCAAAGCATCTGCCTTGCGAAGCAGAAGGTGTCAAGTTCGATTCCTGTCATTTCCAGGTAGATTTGGGAGAGGATCGCTGCCTGAAAACCTGGAGAGCTGTTGCCGGTCTGTGTTGGCATTACTGAGCTAGACCATCAGAAAGCGTTTATTTATCTGGCGGGCGGGGGGGGGACGACCCAGAATTAAATATAAATTACTAACAGATTCAAAAGAAAGAGGGGGATTTTCTCTGCCGGATTTGAAGATATATTTTGATGCCGCAGCCCTTTGTTGGGTTAAGGAATGGATTAAATTAGATAATGCTGATGTTCTTGATTTGGAGGGGTTCGGCAATGTATTTGGTTGGCATGCTTATTTATGGTATGATAAGATAAAGGCTCATAAAGGCTTTAAAAAACATATAATTAGAAAATCTTTATACCCTAAAATATAAAGATCCTTTCCTTAGAAAGGAGAACACCTAGGTGGCTTTCACCAATGGAAGCAGAGGCCCAGAAAAAAATAAATATGGAGAGTACCTGGTTGAGATATTCTGATTTACTGTTGGAAGATAAGGAAGGATACAAATTAAGACCATTTAAGCAAATCAAAGATAAATTGGGTTGGCTACATTATTATCAGATTAATGAATTGTTTAAACTTGACAAGAAAAATGGTTTTGCGTCAGAAAAAACCAAATTGGAAACGGAGTTGTTAGATACTAATGTTAAAAATTTATCAAAAATGTATAATTTGTTGTTGGAGTGGCACACAAAGGGAGCTGGATGAGGCCCAATTGCCTTCTCAATCCGACCCGCGGACAGTCCAGGAATCAGCATGTTTTCACATGAATAGGATGTGTCCTTTTATTTAAAATGCATCTCTGGGTTATTTGTGGGGCCTGCCTGGTGTTTTTACATGAGTAGAATGGGTGCTTTTATTTAAAATGCATCTCTGGGTTATTTGTGGGGCATAGGAATTCATCCCCCCCCCCCCGAAAATATAGTCTGGCCCCCCACAAGATCTGAGGGACAGTGGACCGGCCCCCTGCTGAAAGTTTGCTGACCCCTGAGCTAGATGGATCAATGGATCAACTTTGTATCAGGCAGCTTCCTATGTTTCTATGCTCCCTTGTTCGGTAATTAGTCCGTGAGGGTTGGATGGTGTTTCATCAGTGAGAACAAATCATTAGAAAAAGGTCTCTTGATAGATGGAAATTTCTCTCTGATTTTGAATGGGATACCCATCAATGTTTGGTGACACAGAGAGATGCCCAAATTGCTGTGTAAGTGTCCTGATCCATAGGGAAACTGACTGCCAAAGATAGGCGATGGCCTGTACATTGTATTAATCATGCGAAGAATTTGTTTTCTGCTTTATCTTTTTCTGCTATTGCATTTTTGGTATGATTGTTGTTGTTGTTTAGTCGTTTAGTCGTGTCCGACTCTTCATGACCGCATGGACCAGAGCACGCCAGGCACCCCTGTCTTCTACTGCCTCCAGCAGTTTAGTCAAACTCATGCTGGTAGCTTCGAGAACACTGTCCAACCATCTCGTCCTCTGTCGTCCCCTTCTCCTTGTGCCCTCCATCTTTCCCAACATCAGGGTCTTTTCCAGGGAGTCTTCTCTTCTCATGAGGTGGCCAAAGTATTGGAGCCTCAGCTTCAGGATCTGTCCTTCCAGTGAGCACTCAGGACTGATTTCCTTCAGAATGGATAGGCTTGATCTTCTTGCAGTCCATGGGACTCTCAAGAGTCTCCACCAGCACCATAATTCAAAAGCATCAATTCTTCGGCGATCAGCCTTCTTTATGGTCCAGCTCTCACTTCCATACATCACTACTGGGAAAACCATAGCTTTAACTATACGGACCTTAGTTGGCAAGGTATAATTGTAGTGGCTGCAATGCTTGCTCATTTTTAAGGTTATTGCTATTGTGCGCAGCTTTGAGCTCAACATTGCTGTTGGAAAAGCAGGATGCAAATGTCAAAAGAGGGAAGTCAGTAGTCCCAGGCCACCAGAGAGATAGGAAGGCAAGGTGAGACCTTGGACTATTGTGTGGGTTTCAGCACCACAGATAGCAACTCGGCAGCAGAGATAGAACATACAAGTTGTCTCAGCGATGCCCTTGAGCAGCTGGCAGATCTTAATAGCAGAGGTGGGGAACCTCAGACCCCGGAGCCCAATGTGGCCCTCTAGCCTCTCTGGTACACTCCCTCTCACCAGGCTACACCAATCACTGGCCCTGCTTCCGACCCTGGGGCTTCCCTCCCACCCGGATGAAATGTGTCCTTGAGTTCTGATCATGTCTCTGCGAAAGGACAGAGGGGGTTGTGTGTGTGAGTGCATGTACTGTACAAAGGTGAAATTTGCATTCATTGCTCCACCTACGGGTGCCTCCAGCCCCGCCTTGAAGAAGATAAGGATACAAGAAAAAGATACATTATATATAGATATACAGATGATATGGAGATATGGATATACAGTCATACCTCGGGTTACAGACGCTTCAGGTTGCGCATTTTCGGGTAACGGATGCACCAAAACCCGGAAGTACCGGAACAGGTTACTTTCGGGTTTTGGCGCTCGCGCATGTGCAGAAACACTAAATTGCGCTTTGTGTAGAAGTGCCAAATCGCGACCCACGTGTGTGCAGATGTGGCGATGTGGGTTGCGAACGCTGCGGGTTGCGAATTTAAATAATACTAATACTAGATAACAAACAATGTCGTGAAGTGGCTAAATAGCCAGTGAGTTGGGAGGTGTGGGGTCAAATCCACCCTTAGCAATAGATCCTCCCGCACGGATCACGTTCGCAACCTAAACATCCACTGCATAGATATATAGCTATATACTGTATTTTTCGCTTCATAGGGTGCACCGGACCACAGGGTGCACCTAGTTTTTAGGGGGGGGATCAAGAAAAATTTTTTATTTCCCCTCCCAGCCTCAAAGAGCAGCGTACAGGCTGTGCGCAACCTCTCCCTGCCGGAGGAGTTGCGCGCAGCTATGTCACAAGCCAAGGCAGCCAGCGGGATGGATCCTGCTGGCTGTTTTGGCTTCCTCTTTAGCCCCCCGCAACCTCTTCCTGCCGGGAGAGGCTGCGCGGGGCTAAAGACGCCATAGCCACGTGCAGCCTCTCCCTGCCGGAGGGGCTGCAAGCGGCTATCCCTGAAGCCTGGAGAGCGAGAGGGGTCGGTACGCACCGACCGCTCTCGCTCTCCAGGCTTCAGTGAAAGCAACGCGAAGCCTTTGGAGCACAGAGGGAGTGCTCCCTCTGCGCTTCGGAGGCTTAGCATTGCTATCGCTGAAGCCAAGGAGCCTGCATTCGCTCCATAGGATGCACACACATTTCCCCTTGATTTTTGGACAGGAAAAAGTGTGTCCTATAGAGCGAAAAATATGGTAGATAAAGATACAGGTATACAACACATTTCAAATTAAAAAGTGTCTGTGCAACACAGAAAGCTGCCTTAAACTGAGTCAGACCATTGATCCTCCCAGCTCAGTAATGTCTACACATGAGGTCCCCAATGTGGTGCCCATGGGCACCACAGTGCCCTTAGACACCCCCTTGGTGCCTTTCAGTGCCCTCTGCCCTCCCATTAAAAATTTGGGAAGGTTATTTAAATATATATATATAGTTTGGCTGAAGAGGTTGCCTCCTTGGCAAGGTGTTATATTTTGTTTTCTTGGCGTAGATGACGAAGTTTGCATATTGAGGACTGGGAATGAGGGCTCTTGCATTGATTGCGACTTGGGCACTATTGTAAAACTGCTGCATTTTTATTTTATTTTATTTACTTGCTTGTTTCCAGGACTAATTCAAGAAGATGCAGCTTTTGACAGTCAAAGCCTGGAGCAGCCTGGATCTCAAGGAGAACTTTCTCTCCTATAATCTCCCGGGGCTTTTAGGATCTACAAGTGAGACCCTAATCTAAGTACCTTCCTTTAGCAAGGTAATGTTATCATCTACATGGGGCAAGACCTTATCTGTTGTAGCCCCAGAGTTGTGGAACGCTCTCCTCCGTGAGGTCTGTATTAATTCTTCATTGGTAGACAGGGAGGAAATGTCGCTATTAATTTGGATGTTTGGGGATTGGTGGAGATACTTGTGTAATTAGAAATGTTCGTTTTGATTCCTTTAGCTGAGGTTGGTTTTTTCCTATTTCAAATGGATTGCTTTTATTTCCATTTTCAAACAGTAAAAAAATTGTGAGCAGGTGCTCTTTTATTGAAAGATAGTGTAAATAAATAAAATCCTCCAGGCAGGGAACATGTTTTGTTGCTGTTTATATTACTCTTTATTTACAGAAATTGTACTGTATAATGTCTGGACGTTCTGTTTATTGAGCATTCATCCTTGATTTGCTTGCATAAAGCTTATGCCAGAGTCTAGATCATATCTGGTCTTTTTGAACATTTGTTTAGGGGGCAGTTATATGGCAAATGAACATTCATTCTCCATTCACCCTGATTTGCTTGCTAGGTGTTCATTCATCTTCTATATTATATTCATTCAGCCCATACATTTCTGTGCATCTTCCCCATCGCAAAACTCCCGGTTCTCCGTTAAAGTAGATCTATTGCAGCAGGGGAGTCCTTGAATCTACTTTAATTATACAAACTTATCGTTCCAGTATGTCCAGTCTGGAGATGCTCTAGGTTTTTAAAAAATAATACGCAACAACTTCCTGCTTCCATCTGCACCCCTATCTATATCCCTCCCATCAGAAATCCCTCATGTTGTGAAATTGTACCTGCTATCAAATAAGCAAGCAAGCAAGCGGTTGTGCTTCTTTCATTGCAATTTATAAGAGCAGGGGTCAACAAACTTTTTCAGCAGGGGGCCGGTCCACTGTCCCTCAGACCTTGTGGGGGGCCAGACTATATTTTGGGGGGAAATATGAAGAAATTCCTATGCCCCACAAATAACCCAGAGATGCATTTTAAATAAAAGCACACATTCTACTCATGTAAAAACACCAGGCAGGCCCCACAAATAACCCAGATGCATTTTAAATAAAAGGACACATTCTACTCATGTAAAAACATACTGATTTAGAAGGCCATTGG